CACACACACACACACACACACTCACTCTCACTCTCTCTCTCTCTGTCACTCTCACACACACACACACACACACACTCTCTCTCTCTCTCTCTCACACACACACACACACACACTCACACACGGGTCGCGTTCGCTGTATGTTTAATGAGACTGAACTTGTGAATTATTGAGTGTTTTCCACCGTGTGACTTCAGTCCAGCGTCGCTGTCTTCACCTCCAGTGTTCAAACGACACCGAGCCGTGGTACTTATTGCCCCCGGCAACAATCAGACCAATCAGAGCTGCGCATCACATCCATTCAGATCTCCAGAAACTCCATCCTGCACGACGCTCCAAACCAGAAAATATTTATCACTGCTTCCTCGTTAAACATGTCTGATCACATAATTAACACTCATGTTTAGCTGATTTTCTTTTCTTTTTTTTATACTGCCATGCTGGGTTCAATTTCTGTTCAGCCATCAGACTGTAATTATTAAAAAAGAAAAAAGATACAAGCTTAGAAATGTTAAAGTTTTCTATAATAACATTATTCCATGCACATCACAATCGAATACGTTTAGGAGAAAACAGGTGATTGAGATTGAGTTTATGCTTTCGAAACGCTCTGTTTTCCCTGCCATTGTTAGCTGAAGCTGTGTGTGAACAAGGCACGAGTTGCTCCGTCTCACACGCAGCCTCCGAGAGATATTCTCCAGTAGAAACCGCATTGATCATGCCAGAGTTTATCTGTACAACACACGCTACTGTAGTAATGTAGCCGCTGCTGGTGGAAGGCTCGCTAACAATACAGTTCCAGAAAGTTACTCACACTCTCTCTCCAAATGTAGCATCACATTTAACCAAAGAAATATATAAGGCTAGATTAAGAACAAAGGACAAGAACTTCTTCCCGTTTTCTTGGGAAGTTAGCAGGCAGAGGGGTCGTCACAGGGTCACGCTGCTTGCCGTGTGTTCAACAACGCTTCGCTGCTCAGATGCACCTATTAATCAGCCTAACGTGCAGCACAATCAGCCGAAGCCGATTCATTAACAAATAACAAAAATCAGCCTGTCTCTTGTCTGTCCGTCTGTTAGATCGGTGCGTATGACCAGCAGATATGGGAGAAATCAGTGGAACAGCGAGAGATCAAGGTAACCAGTCAGTGACTCTTGATTTGAACGCTTCCTTTCACCTGTTCATTCTGCCTTTGCAGCAGTGTGTGTGTGTGCGTAGCTCGTTCATTCTTCTTTTAAACGTGTCTTTATCTCCCTTCACTCTAAGCAGTTTATCAGACGGGTGAGTATCGCTGTAAGCCGCTCTCAGCCTGTAGGTGCCGCTGCGTGTGGGTTTTTCAGTCTGGTCTTCATGTGTAACACGACTGGATGCCTGTATTTGTGTGAGAGCATGTTTAGACTTCAATAAGGTCACATCAGTAACACGAGGGTTTACTGTAATCTACTGAGACTTAGCTGAACGTCTTAAACTCCTCACACATGGGTCTGATGAAGATGATGATGATGAAGATGATGATGGCAGCTCTTTTCTGTGTTGAGTCAGGATCAGATCTCATTGGTTGAGAGTGAATTTGCATTCAGTTTGTTTGTTTGTGCTGCTTTTACTGGTTGCGCTGTGACTCATGTTTGGCCGAATGTTTTGTGTAACACGAGGGCTAGACAGACAAAAATAAAGACAAACCTCATTCTGCCCTGATCAGCCCAAAGAGCTGCAGTGAGGACTCACGCTGACCAATGGCCTGAATCCATCTAATCTGTAACAAAGTAACAAACTTGGTGCATTAACAGAAGATGTGCATTTACTGATACTTACGACGGCTTTGAATGCAGCTCATCCAATCAGCATAGAGTCTGAATGAAGCGCTTCATAGATGACTGACTGTAGAGTCATTATTCCTCAGACTCTGACAAGGAAAGTATTATTGATGAAATGATTGTTAGTCTGTCATCCGCGGCGTAAGTGAGCGTACTGTTCTTAATTTCATGTGTTTCTGAATCATTTTATTGACTGCGCTGCTTTTAATTTGAGGACATTGGAAAGATTTTTAATAAAGTCAGACCTGAATCAGTTTTGATCAAAAATTGATTTTAAAGTAATATATTTTTAAGTAGTATTTTGGGTGTTTCTGCCTTTATTATGATAGAATAGTTAAAGATTGGATATTAGAGAGGAGGGCCGGGACTCAAACGCAGGTCACGTGAAGCGTGCTACACACAACACGACTCTAACCTGTGATTTGTCATGAGTATAGTCACAGCATGTTTTTGTTTGCGTTGGTTCTCGTGTGGAGATCACTGCTGTTTGTATGAATATCTGCTGTAGCGTCGGGTGTTTACAGCTCGTTATTAGCAGAAGACTGCTCTCTGGTTACATGAGCGCCAGTGCAACAGGAGACTAATGAGGGCATGAAACGCAGCACTGCACCTTTAATAGACAGCATCACAAACAGGCTCGGTGTTTGTGTGTGAACTGATGTTCGGAGGTTGACTCGAGATTATTAAAGTTTTTTGTTTTGAGGTCTTCATATAAATACATTTGAGTTGTAAATCCCTAATAATCTGTCATATTAAATAAGTGACTGAGAGAGCTGCTTCAGATCCTGCTTAAAGTCAGTGTTTTATTGCACTCTGGTCATGAATTCACTCATTTATTCTATTAATCTTTTTTAATTAAACTTATATTTTAATTAAACGTATATTTTATATTATATTTAATTAAACGTATGTTGAGAAGTGTGTGTGCGCTGACATGCATGGGTTCTCCATCAGTGTGAATGATCTGCTGTGACAGAAGACACCATCAGTCATCCTGTTTGTCTGTCTGATGAGCGTCTGTCTGTCTGTCTGATGAGCGTCTGACTGTCTGTCTGATGAGCGTCTGTCTGTCTGTCTGATGAGCGTCTGACTGTCTGTCTGATGAGCGTCTGTCTGTCTGTCTGATGAGCGTCTGACTGTCTGTCTGATGAGCGTCTGTCTGTCTGTCTGATGAGCGTCTGACTGTCTGTCTGATGAGCGTCTGTCTGTCTGTCTGATGAGCGTCTGACTGTCTGTCTGATGAGCGTCTGTCTGTCTGTCTGATGAGCGTCTGACTGTCTGTCTGATGAGCGTCTGTCTGTCTGTCTGATGAGCGTCTGACTGTCTGTCTGATGAGCGTCTGTCTGTCTGTCTGATGAGCGTCTGACTGTCTGTCTGATGAGCGTCTGTCTGTCTGTCTGATGAGCGTCTGACTGTCTGTCTGATGAGCGTCTGTCTGTCTGTCTGATGAGCGTCTGACTGTCTGTCTGATGAGCGTCTGTCTGTCTGTCTGATGAGCGTCTGACTGTCTGTCTGATGAGCGTCTGTCTGTCTGTCTGATGAGCGTCTGACTGTCTGTCTGATGAGCGTCTGTCTGTCTGTCTGATGAGCGTCTGACTGTCTGTCTGATGAGCGTCTGTCTGTCTGTCTGATGAGCGTCTGACTGTCTGTCTGATGAGCGTCTGTCTGTCTGTCTGATGAGCGTCTGACTGTCTGTCTGATGAGCGTCTGTCTGTCTGTCTGATGAGCGTCTGACTGTCTGTCTGATGAGCGTCTGTCTGTCTGTCTGATGAGCGTCTGACTGTCTGTCTGATGAGCGTCTGTCTGTCTGTCTGATGAGCGTCTGTCTGTCCGTCTGTCTGATGAGCGTCTGTCTATCTGTCTGATGAGTTTCTGTCTGTCTGTCTGATGAGTTTCTGTCTGTCTGTCTGATGAGCGTCTGTCTGTCTGTCTGATGAGCGTCTGTCTGTCTGTCTGTCTGATGAGCGTCTGACTGTCTGTCTGATGAGCGTCTGTCTGTCTGTCTGATGAGTTTCTGTCTGTCTGCAGGGTCTGAGGAACAAACCGAAGAAGACCGGTCACGTGAAGCCGGACCTGATTGACGTGGATCTCGTCAGAGGTCAGAAACACATGTCTGTAGTTGATGTGTTTCGTCGTTTCGTTGTGTTCACATCACGTTCAGGTCTATTATACAGGCCAGTCGGATCATCATGAGTCGCGGATGCTAACTCGTCCTGTTTTATTCGTCAGGTTCTGCGTTTGCTAAAGCGAAGCCCGAGAGCCCGTGGACCTCTCTGACCCGAAAGGGCATCGTCAGAGTGGTTTTCTTCCCCTTTTTCTTCCGCTGGTGGATTCAGGTGACGTCGAGAGCCGTCTTCTACCTGCTGCTGTCTCTCTACCTGCTGCAGGGTGAGCGTTTATTCACACACAATCGCTTGATGTCCTGTGAGTTTCTCAGCAGTCATTTAAGTGAGGATGGTGAAAAGTATAGGGAATGGACTTTCAATCAGCAATGTTTCGGTTTAGAGATAATGCAAACAACATCAGAGAACAGCAGAATTATTATTATATAGTGATGTCTGTCAGGTGTGTTTGTAGGTCAGATTGATCATGCTGTGACGCGCTGATGGGATTCTTGTGTTTCTACACATCCAACCGCGAGTCCCTCCGTCAGTTTGACTGAATGACACTTTCTGATTGTTCTTATGTTGCTCATTGAGGTCACTGTAGCTGTTTTTCTTGTTAGAGATGTTTGTAAATAGACCTGGGTGGAGTTCAAGTGCTTTTGTTTTTATAGTTATTAAAGAGAACAGGGTGTGTGTGCGTGTAATAATCCAAATTCATTTACCAAACGAAAGTAAACCAATCTCTCGTCAAATGTTCGTCATCGCTGAAAGTGAAGCTTCAATTTGAAGTTTAATTTGACTAACTTATCATAGTGTTAGACTGGACAGCAACAAAAGATGTGAGAATCATTTTCTCCTGCCTTTTAACAGCTGAGTTTATTTTACTGTCCTAACAATGGACATTTACATGATGTCGCCTCTGGCTTGCTTAGTTGGGGACACTTCATTTCCAGCGATATCGTTGACATGATTGCAAAGATATTATTTAAACTGAGCTGGATGTTGACATCACTGAATTCAATGATAAACTGTCTTTAACTGAAAAATGAGTGTTTACTATTGTCATTTTGCATTATTGACACTATTTTCCTAATTAATGCTGTTCAGTTGCTTTGTCACAATCTGTATTGTTAAAAGCGCTATATAAATAAAGGTGACTTGACTTGACTTGACATGATTAGCTGCACTGGATTATTTGTGTATGAATAAAGATGCTTCTCATGTCATCGGCGTGCGTTTTGTGTTGCAGTGCTGGCGGCCGTGTTGTTTTTCAGCATCTCCAGTCCTCACAGCGTCCCCGTCACCGAGGTGTTTGGAGCCATCTGGCTGATGCTGCTGTTAGGAACCGTTCACTGCCAGATCGTCTCCACACACACTCCTAAAGCCAGCGGCGGCATCGGTGGGAAACGCCGCAGGTCAGACTCTCTCTTCTGTGTGTAGCTTTAGGCAGAAAGCATGTCTTTAATGCTCCTGTACGGTTTCTTTTGAAGCCAGAGGTCAGCTGTCCTACTGACAGTGAAACTCTAAAGACGAAATCAGGGGAAGTGTCAAACTGTTGAGATGATTCTGCTGAATTCATGAAAATCTATCTTTATATTTGAGGATCCAAAGACAGACATGGCGCTTTCATGTCTTCATTATTAGGAGATTTTCAGCATTATAAAAAAGAAACGCCATCACAAGCACAAATGATCAGTCGTATTCCAGAAGCATGAATAGAAACTAATATTCTAAAGGATCTAAAATCCAAAAGATTTTGACTAACAAACTTCAATGCAAATGAATCATTCAAAGTTCGTTTGCATCATCTCAGTTTAGTCTACGTCTCTTTCAGGCCTTTCGCTTCTCTTGACTTTGGGAATCAAGAGCTCTGAGGCCAAAGTTCGCTCTGTTTTAAGATTTCTAAGTTTTCTGCACTTTGCTGTCTCTCGCTAAAGGAAGTTGAGGAAAGCGGCTCATTTGGACATTCATAGAGAAGGCGACGGCTCTAGCACTACTGATAACACACAGGAGGGGGCGCCGCAGGGCTCGCTGTCTGCCGGCTCACGCGGCCTCGTGGCTTTCTTCAGAGATTTCTGGCATGGTATCTTTAAAGCGGGGTGTGTATTTCTCTCTTTCTCTCATCTCCTCTTAAGATCTGAATGGCTTTAACATCTCTTCTAAAAGCACGTCATCGCACTGCAGTGTGGTTCTGCGTCTGTCATTGTGTTCCTCACTAGACAAAGGGATTTTGTAGCCATTTTATTCCATCTGCTTCATATGCTGCACTTATCATTTTTCCCCAAAAGCACAATTGTTACAGTCTCTAGAAACCGGTCCACTTTCTCCCGATTCCCGTTCTTCCGTCAGTGTTTTGCTGTAGAGGACTAGAGCTGCACTTCCACACGTTAGGAACGGAGGCGTCGCTTGATCAAACGCACAGCCTTTAGTAGAACCTGCACTTTTCCTTGCTGTCCCATCAGGTCCAAAAAGTCCAAGCTGTCCATCGATAAGTCTACAGAGACGGACAATGGATACGTGTCTCTGGACGGACGCAACACCAGCAAAAGCAGCGAGGAGGGTTTACAGCTGCATGATCCTCACTGCGACCTGCTGCGCTCCGAGACGCACTGGAGCCTCCCGCACAACAGACACCAGCTGATCCTGCCGCCCACGGGCAAGGTACACACACACACACACACACACACACACGCTCTCGCACACACACACACTCTCGCGCACACACACACACTCACTCTCGCACACACACACACACACACACTC